CTCCTTGGAAACCCTATACAGGGTTGCTATGGGTCAGAACCGACTCAACAACATTTCATAACAACAACAAATGAAGCTGATTGACAACAAGCAGAGCAAGCACAAGTCAGAGTGCCCTGGAATCAATCCCAGCTATTGAAACTGCAATTCGCCAGAGGATGAAGAATCAGAGTGCCCATCCAGGTAAAACAGCACACAAGAAACCATAACATTTATGATCCCCACATTGTGATTTGTACCAATAATCTGGCTTTGTAACAGGTTCCCATGTTTTTGATGAATAATGATTTGTCCTTGCTTATTCTTGGAAGCCTTCCTGAAGTCCTATAAAACACCCATAATCTTTCTCCTCAGAGAGACAGTAGGAGGCAGATAGCCCTTGTTCTTGCCTCTGTTGTTGTTGTTAGGGTTCGTCAAGTTGGTTCAAACTAATAGTGACCCTATGAATAACAGACTGAAACACTGCCTATTCTTGTGCCATCCTCACAACTGTTGTTACATTTGACCTGATGGCTGCTGCCACAGTGTCAATCCATCTTGGGGGGTATTCCTCTTTTTTGCTGACCCTTCACTTTACCAGGCATGATGTGCTCCTCTAGGGAACAGTCCCCGCTTATAACATATCTGATGAAGTCTTGCCATCATGGCTTCTACGATGTGAAGCATTATGGTTTCACTTTCTTCAACACAGATTTGCTTGTTCTTTCTGAAGTCCATAGTATTTCCTTTTCCATCTTCTTCTTCTTCTTCTTTTTTTTTTTTTTTTAATTTTTATTGTGAATTGAGTGATAGTTTATATGATGGAACATCAGTTTTACACTCATCCTACAGTATTCATTTCATTACAATGATTGCAATCCCCTGTATGCTTCATCATTCAACAGTATTTGCTTCTATTTACTCTATTTTTTTCTCTTTGTATGTGCGCCCAAACACTCAGGAATATACAATTATTCAAACAGCCAACGGGCACACCCTGAAAGCCTGCCTCTTGGCTGCCACCACACATTCCTTCTCTCTCCATGAGTCTAGAGTCCTCAGCTGCTCCATCTCTCCATGCCATCCTCTCTGCCTCCATTTCTGACATCACCACTTCTCTGGGTAGAGTCCCACACTCCACTCCTACTCTTCTCACTTGATGGTCCCAGGAGCCTCTGCTCCAGGACTGTAAGATCGACCACTCACCTATTTTTGCTACAAAACTTCTATCTTTACAGTTGTGACAATCGCAATTACTCATGATAATTATTTACTATTGAATCATAAGATTTTTCTCCCCATCTCCTTTCACTAGACCTGTCTAGAAAGAATGAAACGCACTCAGTGGGGATTCTACCTTATTCTACCTTCCCCCACACACTCTAAAACTAAACTTCCTCTTGAAAATTTGAAAATTTGTAATTCAGTCACTTCATGCTTTTACAGCCCCCTCATTTTAGGTAGCCAATGTCTAAGCTGCCGATCTGTATCAACTCAGTGTACAGAGGGGATGGGAATGATACTTGCTGCAAAGATTCTTTCCCTCTTGATTGGTATTTTAAGCTACTACATCCATAAGTATAGGTCAAGTTCATCAGATTGTAGTGATTTATACTTTTTTAAAAATTGCTTTTTTCTTTTCTTTTCTTTTCCTCTTTCCTTCCTCTAGTCAGGTTTTGAACATCCAGCCATTGAAGTTAGATCCAATGGGCACTATCTGCAAGTTTGGATGCCCTTGTGCAAATCCCCTTACTTCATATCAGCTGGACATTTCACTCTCAACTCTAGCCTTCCATGGCCATGTCCTTGTCCATGAACTCAGGTGTTCCCAGACTCACTGTATTTTGGGCCAACCAGCTCTCACCATACGCCAGGTTAATGGGGGGATCTATGTAACTTGGTTGGACTCAGCCCACCTCTTCATTGCTGCTTTTCTCCCACTTCCACTCACCATTAGACTAACATAATTGCCGATAAGCTTATATGCCAGCTCATGTATTCCCTCTAAGTTTCAGTCTTGGGAAGGGGTTTGTCCTGAAGGGAAGTGATTGCTTGCCTTGATTGCTCCTGGCAAACAACTTGCTTGTTCTTGTAGTAGCCAATCAGACTGCCATTTTTTTTTTTTTTTCTGCTTTTTTTCCCCTTCAAGAAGTATCTTCT